GTGTGTGTGTGTGTGTGTGTGTGTGTGTGTGTGTGTGTGTGTGTGTGGGTGTGTAAGAGAGAGACAGACAGACAGACACGGAGGGAGAGGGAGGGAGAGACAGACATGGAGGGAGAGGGAGGGAGAGACAGACATGGCGGGAGAGACAGACAGACAGACAGACAGACACAGAGGGAGGGAAGGGGAGAGAATGGGAAAGAGAGTCTTTGTCTTGTTTTGTATACGTTTACCCTTTTTTGTCACACGCTGCCTTTCTAGTGTGTGTGTGTGTGTGTGTGTGTGTGTGTGGGAGGGTATGGGTTGGGGGTGTGCATGTTCATTTTCTCTCACAGCGGGTGTCTGCAGTTCTTGGAAAAACACTGAAAATAAGGGCATCAATTTAAGTGTCACAGAAATGTTTGTTTCCTGGATCATCAGACCAAAAGGCATCAGGATTTTGGTTTTGCAGCTGATCTTTTCTTCAGGGAATATCTCATTGTCTTGACAACTTTATTCCAATTACCTTCACAGTATGATCAATTTGCTGCAGCATTTTGATACCTTTTTATTTCTTTTTGCTGGCATCTCAATGATGTTACTAAGTGGTTTGAGGTTTCATTCATCCCTGTGCGGTTTGGGCTAGAAATGATTGGCATTTATTTTCTTTTTAAAGTGTTCACTTCTCTGCTATTGTTGAGTTAAAATGTGTCGTAAAAAACACTCATCCTTTCTTTAGGCTGAGTATTCAATTTTACTGTTAAACCTAAGGGAGACCACACACCGTACATGTAAAAGGAGGTTCCAGAAGATTGGATTGCTGACATTTTTATTTTTAGGTTTCTATTCCGAGAAGAAATGTGATATTCAGATTATAGTTAGTTTTGGCACTAAAACCCACTTCAAAGCAATGAGGCTCTAAATATATATATATCTAGAGAGAGAGAGAGAGAGAGAATAGCTCTGACACCGAGGAACCGGGGAATTTTACAAGCCTCCAGTTTGTCTTGAATTTTAACTTGAAAATGAATTTTGTTGCTCCAGAAAATCTTCCAAATCATTGCTGAGTGCCTCAGTCGTGTTTATCACCTGGAAAATATTCAGAATAACTTTGTAATAGGAATTATTTATAGCCATCATTTAACTTTCCCAAAAAAGTAACCTTTTCAGACACACAGCTCCACTCCAGCAATGTTTAACCTGCTTCAGACCTCATTAACTTAGACTATATGGGAAGTTTTCTCTTTCTGGTTACATGTCCGATGGATGAGGAGGTAATCAGTAGCGAGATGTCTTTCTAACTGTAAGACAGACACACATTTTTAACTGATAGAAATAAATTATTCCCCCATTTTTGTCAGCAGAAAACCATTTCCCTGCATTAGCATCTACATCACTTAAACCATCTCTTTTTCCCGTTATTTCACACTTTCTCCTCTCTCTCTTGGCTCCCCCCTGCTGTCTCTCCTCACCTCCTCCCTTGCAGCCTCACCCCTCATTCTCCTGCGGTTGCTCCTCCGAAATAGAAGCCGTCTCTGCAGCGGTAATGACAGAGAGTCAGTCTAATGACAGAGACGGTGGCACACACAGTATATAATAATGGGGAAAGTGTGTGTTACCACTATAGCTAACGAGGGTCTGCTGGGGCATTAACTATGCATGAACCTCACACCCTAAACTCACACATGCTATACACATGAAGCCGAACCACACACATGCAGGCAGACATGCATGAAGGCACATACACACTTCAAAGAACGGTGAGATTGTCAGCGGAAGCCACCACAGGTGCTGTGTTCGACATGAATTAATCATGAAAGAGACCTGTGATGTTTTACTACACTCGCTGCTATTTTTGATTGACAGCGGTGCTTAGAGAGAATTTATGCGGCACAAAGCCTGAGAAGTGTGTCGGGGTCAAGTAGAGTTCACTCAGCGAGCAGACAAATCCCCGGCGCTGAATTTAGTCGAAGCTTCGCATTCCCTCAGCTTACTGTTAGGTAGGCTTACAAGTCCACTGACACGGGCTGGTAACTTTAAATTTACGGGGAGTGCGGGAAGTATTATTTCAAGGAATTTAATGGCCCATCTGCTTTGTTAAAGGCAGAATCTGTCTTTACAAACGCAGCAGCAGCACTCGAAACTAAAGGCACAGTCTGAAGCGAGGTGTGGACTCAAAAAGGCAACATAGAGAGAGCACTGCTTCAGATCAGTTAAATAGGGAATAATGAGCATGTGTGCATGTGATGGAGAAACACACTGGGGACAACTAAGGGAATGGCAGGGTAGTGACCGGCAGACAGAAAACATACAAATAAGATGTAGGAAAGCTAGAATGTGTTGACCTTAAACTCATTTTCCTATAACTCCTGGCTTATCTGACTGTGACGGCAACATTTATTTAAAGAAATTGTTTAACGCTTTGGGAAATAAGCTTATTTGCTTTCTTGTCATGCACAAAGACTTCAAACGTAACAAAAGCTGTCTCCCAGCACCTCTAAAGATAAAAAAAAAAAGTCAACACATTATATCTCTTTGGTTAATACATACAAAAACTGAAGTGTAAAAGGTAAATGGGGGTTTGTGAGTGTGACTATTTTTTGGCTGTATTCAGGCTGCTGCTGTTAGCTTCATATTTACTGTACACCGAGCGCAATCAATCGTCTCATCTCACTCTAGCCAAGAAAGCAAATAAGCAAATAATCCAAACATGTCAAACATTTCCTTTGAACATAAATGAATGGTTTGAATAGTACTTTATAAAGTGTTTCCCCATACTACACATATCATGATTACAATCGAAGGAAACTGATGCTGCCACGTCTCTCGCTTCCAGACAGTTGTCATTACAAAAGTTTTGCAGCCCTCCTGTTTCCTGATGCTACGAAAGGGTTTGTTTACATGGAAAATATTCATTGGGCCTCGAAAGGATAGAGTGTGGAGGGCAAGAAGAAAGATGAAAAATAAATATTATCTGAAGTCTTTACAAAGACAGAAGAAGTTAAAAGCAAGGCAATCGGGTTACACAACAATGTGAGTTTGACACATTACAACTATCATAATTAGAGTTTGGGTGACATTTAAGAAGAATATTCACACATTCCTGGCACAGGGGGCTGACTAATTTGAGATAATGATCACAGAACTTTCTCCTTTCCTTAATTTTTTTCTTTTCTTTTGTTGTTGTGTGGCGAGGCAGCTCGTTACTCTTTCAGTCAAAGGTGTTTTTGAATGCTGTGATGTTCCGGATGATTACATTCTGCACTCAAAGGCATGCTGGCGTATTTAGCACAACCTCTCTGCAATACAATTGTTCAGCCGAAATGTTTTCACAGAAAAGCCTTGACAGATGCTTATCATTCTCAATATCTGCGTTGGCATAATGAAATCAAAAGCTCCTCGGTGTAAAACTACCTGCCTCGACATCAGAGACGTCACCGCTGCTTAGCGATGAATATCTGGATATACTGTGCGACCGCACGCTGTGTCAGGATGGAGTTCTCAAATGGAAATTGAATCCTCTTAACTAATCCAAGTTTTCTTCTTTTTTTTTGTAGTTTTAATTAAAGCTGAAGGAGGCAGGATTCTTCTGTAAAGATACACCTTCCAAAACCACAAAGGAGTTATAACAGAGAAGACTGAACTCTTCTCTGCCAACAGGAAGTCACAAATCAAAATTTGAGAGAGAGATAGAGTGTCCCCGAAACAGCAGTGAGACAGCAGGTCTCTATTTCTTCATCTTTCTGCCTCTTTCACCCGTCTGATATCCTCAGCATCATAGACCAGCACCATGTCTGATCACAAATAACACATTTCTTTCAAAAACATTTCTTCCACTAGTCATTGGACATCTCACATTTTCCAGTTCTCATTCTTTATCCAATGCATGTCAATCCTTATCTTTTTTCTTTCTGCAAATCTATTTTTGACAACATATCTTGCATGAAGTTGTAATAATGAATGTGTTAATAAACAGTTTTTGTATTTACACATCCAGCAGCTACAAAGAAACAACTAGCTTTTTATTTAGAGTCGTATATCTGGTGACCTGCAAAGTACCAATGAGAGCGGTGAGACTGAACCAAAACACTTCAGTTGCGGGTTGTAAAACCAAAATAAATGAGCTGAGAGTCGGCTATTAATTCTCTGTGGGTTTGTCTCTTGCTTCTGCTCCCTTCCTTCCCTCTCTCGCTGTGTCCCAGGTGATTAATGCCATCGAGCAGGACTTCAGGCTGCCAGCTCCCATGGACTGTCCGGTAGTGCTGCACCAGCTGATGCTGGACTGCTGGCAGAAAGACAGGAATGCACGGCCCAAATTCGCCGATATTGTCAGCATGTTGGACAAAATGATACGGAACCCTGCATCTCTCAAAGCCGGCACCAACATCGTCGCCCCCGGGTGAGGAGAGATACAAATTTACATACACAAACTCTCCGAATTGTTTTTGAACACCTCCTTGTCTCTCCTATAATCTCTACTCTCTGCAGTCCTTCCCATCATCCCTTGTTAGACCGTGGGGCTCCAGACTTGAGCAGGGTGAGCTCTGTGGAAGACTGGCTGGCTGCGTTGAAGATGACCCAGTATCGAGACTCCTTCCTGGGCTCAGGCTTCACTTCTTTGCCGCTCGTCACACAAATCACAGCCGAGTAAGTCCACCCATTTAACTGCCTCTCCGTTTTTTGTGTGTCTGTCTCTACCTTCCTCGGTGGTCAGTGTCTTGTTAGTTCTTTTTATCATGATATGACAATCACAAAACACTAAAACAACTCTGCCAAATAAACTGTAAGTGCTGTAAAGGATTTGAACCAGTGAAAATAATAAGAATCGATGTGTGATGCTGTTGTTTCTTTAAAGCTTACATGCAGCTATTTCCCATACCTGGCATACCTAGTGTTTCTGATCGTGGTTTGTTCTCTCTTTTACTCTAATGACTGTGTTTTAATCAGAATTTTACTCCTTTCACCATATGCCATTGTGATAAATTCTAAGAGTTTATCTTCATTTCCTTCGTATAATGCACAGTGGAATGAATTTGGTTGTTAGCTATTCAAAGAATTGTAGATTCTTGCTTTTCCTACCTAAACAAGCCTGTATAGGAGGCAAATTAACACCTCTCCTTCTGTCTGAGAGCTACACGGTGTGGCTCCTGCTCCTGCCATTATCCTTGGATGAGGCACCAACCTCAGAACTGGAGTTGGTCCCTGTGCACGTCACTGTGGGTCAAACATATAGGATGATTTTCCCCACAGGGATTAATTAAGTATGTTTTAACATAGAGCCAGTGTTGAGACAGCAGATATAGAGCCACACAGAATTGGCTATGAGCCACTGAACTGTATTCAAAAGGCTTTCAATGGATGAGACACGACTATGCAGGGGTTGGAAATTTGACTCTGCACCGTTCTGATTTTTTTTCCCTGAAAATAAACTAAGCATTGAAAGACAAAATGAATGATGTGTTGTTCATAGTGGTTAAAAGCAAATTCAGTAAAATAATAGAAATTTAAATAGGAAAAAATAAGACATTTCTTTGCTGTTTTTAATCCTTGAAGCAGTTTATTTACAAATAAATCTCTACATTAAAAAGCTAAGACAGAACTATGCGAAATATTTTATAATTGTTTTATTTTCTCTCCAGAACATTTGAGTTAAACGTAGGTTACTACTGAGTCATTATTTAATCTATCCAAACACAGTCCTTACCCAGCATGTGCTCGCTGTGCTAATTTAAAGCACAGGTACCTCTTTGATTCCAATTCAAGCACCACTCATGATGACTGTAGTAGAGATTTACTGGAGTCACATCCCACCTCTAAAAGTAGCCATGTTTGTGATGATGAAGCAACCTTATATCTGTGCCTCTTTCTGTGTTTTTCCAGAGATCTTCAGAGGATTGGAGTGTCTCTAGCTGGACACCAGAAGAAAATCCTGACCAGTGTTCAATCGATGAGGCACAACATCGATGACCAGTCTCCGACTGAATCTGTGTAACTACAGAGGGGAGTGACACAGTATGAAATATTTGACAAGTGTACAGTCCGAACGAGCAGGCTGTCACCTTTACACTTCGGTTTTACCCTCATACACCCTGTGGCCATTTGTGTGTCTGCGTGGCCTCAGCAGTCACCGGGTCATCCTTCAGTCATTGGACAGACTTCTTTCACAACATTTAGCAAATTGATTTGAACTAAATGCCTCTTGGAGGGAATTCAATGCAGAGTTCGTGCATGAGGAATAACAAGGCAGACATGATGTGTCTGGTCTTACAATCCCTCTCCCCTAAAATCTCCCCGCAAGATAACTTCCATCTTTGAATTCAGACCAGTTTTCAACAGCCCGGTTTTTATTTAAGGATAAATTACACAAACATGCTACTGTGAAGAGGAAACTGACTGAACAGACAGTTATATGAAGGGACACAAACTGGACTACAAGCTCGACAAAAGGTGATTTAAAACCGTGATTCTGGAGACCCATCGCAGGCTTTGCTGTTATCTCCGGTATGTTTTTGTTGAGACTGAATTGCTAACATCTGAATCCAGATAAGAGCCAACAGTTAAATGGGACTTTGTGAATCCATCTTCATATTGAAGAGTCTGTACATATTATGATATGGGATGTTTATTTCCTATTTGCTTTCACTTTTTGCCAACAACGTCGGACATGTTAATTGCCACTGGAGTATTGTGTGAGTTCTCTATGATTATCTTCCTCTGATTCATCACTGGAGCAAACTTTTAAGTGCTGTGGACTGCAGACAAAATAGATAGAAACAAATAGGTTTAATAGTACTATTTTTTTGTACTTTCCATGCAACAAAAGGAAAAGATAAACTCCTCCATGCAGAGAGCTGGAAAAGCTTGGCCTACTTAAAATAATTAATTCAGAAGTTACTCATAATGGATGAAGTTTAACAATCAGAGTAAAGGCAATTACAGACCAGGAAGAGGAAACAAAATCAGGTAAAGGTATATGAAACCATTGCAGTGTAATTAGTCTTTTTTTCCAAGTTATAAAGCAACTGCAGACATGAAAGTAAAGAGGAAAAAGGAAAAACATGTTAAGAGAATGTAGATAGTGAGTCGTTACTCGCTGCTGAGACACAAATGTTGTGAACACACGAAGGCAGAAAAAGGTATACTCATCCAATGTTCTTGTGATTTGGCTGCAAATCCTAAAGCTGACTGCCAGTCAGGCATTAATACAACGCATGAACAAACCAGGAATCCAATGCTCGTGTTCTGTGTCCACGCATGAAACAAATATCATTTCTGTCAAAACTGGCTGCTGAATATGTCATCGTTCTCGGAGTCTGTTTTGACAGACGCGTCTCCTCCCGATTGACATCAGTGATTAACACTGTTGTCAGTTTGCAGATGGAATGACATGAAGTGACCTATCCACGTTCGCACATCTGTGGAGAGCAGCCTTTTCAATGGGGTGCTTACGCAACACCCATTTACAAGCAACAAAGACTGATTTCTCAGACATGGCAGAGACATTATCTAACAAGCAAAGATAGAGAAATACAAAATGCTGGCGGTGGGGGGGATCTCACTCTGATCTCACTCTGGGGGGCACACTGGTGGAGAAGCGCTGAGAGATCTCTTTTATCTCAGCGCCGGGCTGATTACCAGTTGTGAAACAACAGCAGGCCCGCTCTGCCTTTAGCCCAAACCTTTGGTCATGCGTGTGCCCCCACATGCCAAGGATTACAAGTCTGCAGCCCTGCATTGTATTTCGTGACTTTATTTGTCACCCCCGTGGAGCCGTGCTCACAATAACAGAAGCGACAGTATTTAGTTGTTTGCTTTCAACACGTTTTACTGCTGGCATGTCCTACAGGACGATGTGTTTGCGTTTGTCTCGCACCACTGCTCTCCACTGCTGGGATGGCCCAAACTCTTTTATTTATGAACGTTGTGATATTGAGAAAAACCTCCAAACATTTCATTTTTTCCACTGTTTTGTAAAAACTGGCCGGAATTGCATTTGTTGCCCGGGAACGATAGCTTATTGGACCTGTGTTCAGAGAGTATTGAGATCAACTGGGGTGGTGTAAGTGGTTTAGAGGCATAATTCGTTGTAAATAGATGTCTGTGGAAAAAATGTTTCAGCGCTGGCTCGGGGGTTTTAACAAAGAGTGAGACAACGTGTGCGCCTAAAAGCTCATATTGAACACCATCTAATAAATGTCATGCAGGTAAAAAAAAAAAAAAAGCGATCAACCCAGAGAGGCTTCTTAATACATTAAGTAACTTGAAGCTACATATGATGTGTCAATCCTTTGCTTCATGTTTTTTTTCTTCTTTCTAACGAGATTAGATGTGAGCTACAAGATGTAAGCTTTCAGAGGCTTTTTACGTCTTCCCGTGTCAGTGTTTGTGAAAAGACAATGGAGGACGTCTTGTATTTATACTATGACGCATCGGTTTGAGCAGAAATATACACCACAGAGAGGATATCTCAGGAACACGACTGATGTGAGTGAAGTCCGCATTGCTGCATAAAATGGGGGTCGTTTATTGTTTAATCGTGCACTACATGAAAAGGTTAAAACACGATGAAGTGCTTTAAGAGTTCATGGAGAAAACTGTGTTTGGTGTTAGTTTACTGAACTGCTTATTGAAAGTAAAATCCACCCAGAATCAAGCCCCTACAAGAGGGGAACATTTGACTAAATCCTTTGAGAGGTTTCTATTTGTGTGTGCGGACAAGACACTTACACAAAGAAACAAAGAGATACACTGTTGGGCAATGCACATTAGTTAGAGTTAATACACTTTCTGGTTATGTCAGTGCTGAATCTCTGGGCACATTTTCTAGTTCAAGGCTAAAGCTTCCAGTGAAAGTCCATTCTTTGTTGTTTTTTAAAAACTATTTTACAGACATATCTTGCGCTAATTTACTGCAGATTTTTTTTAAATCCAATATTTACCTAAGACATTAGCTGTGTCCTAATTCCATACCACAGTACATACTGAAATCTTAGCAGGTTTTTCTATAGATGGAGTAGTGCAGTCACACTGAAAACGTGTATTAGCTCAAAAAAAGACCTTGATTTGTGAGCTGTTAATGGATATTTGACATTTGAAAGTTACAGTTTTACTGGCATGCATCTATTTAGTGTTGCTCACCAAAACTTATTGTTTAAATCCTTGATTTCTAACAAGCATGTTGAATGTAATTCTTTCCTTATAAAACACAGTAGGTTTGTTTGTTTGTTTACTTGCCACGCAGTCTTCTTCTACTACTTCTTCTTCTTATTCTTCTTCTTCTTCTTCTTAACCTTTTGCTGGTGTATTAATGTGAAAACATTAGAACGAATGTGAATCACGTCACCCATGTGCATGTGAAGAAAGAACCACCACTCATACAAACATAAATCCATAGTGCTACTAGTGGTTTTTGACCACCAATGTGATTCAAGACACTTTAAATTGCACTGATCACAATCTGTTTTGGTTTTACTGGGCTACTTGCAGATCAACTGGCCTCCTCCAGTCAAGAAGGAGGTGGTAACGAATCTGAAGCTGTTTAGTAACTGCCAACAGCTGGAAGAAGAACTTTTGCACTTCAGCCAGTTAGTTACAACAACAGTTAAGCTGGTGATAGCTAACAACCATCCAAACCCTAATGAGTGAGACAACCTCTTTCTCCAGAGTTGGTTTGAACAATCTCATTCCAATCTTTCTTAGATGGTTCTCGGACGCATTTACACTCAGCTGTTTTGAGATCGGACACAGCGGTGGAACTTGGGTCATTGTCTTTTGGAAAATGAATAAGCCTTTAAATTGCAAACCAGAGGCACCGAAATTGCTCCTCCCACTTCACATCCCTATATAGTATCGGTTTGGGACACAGCTACTGCATTGTTTTAGGTGGGTTACTCCTTTTAAAGGAAAGATCCACCTATGAATATCCTTTAAGGTTTCTCTATTTGTAATACGTGGTGTTCATTTGGACATCATTTTGTTATGATGTGTTGCATGTTACTTTAGTGTTGTGTGGGAACTTGCTGCTCTGAAAAAAGGTTGGCCTATATATCTGTGACCACAGTCTCTCTCCTCTGCAAAAACTCATGCATTCTAGTCTGCTGGGATTACTGTCAATGGGGACGACTATGATGAATTTCTTATTGTTGAATGCGGTGCAAATAGCAGCTGCACACAAAAGCCCTCGCTTGGGACTGACACCAAAACCTGACATTTAGTGCAGATGTGTTAGATAGAGAACTCCATTCAGACTCCACTGTAACTGTGATGAAAATATATCAACATGATGTCCCATTTTCTTTTTGGCCAATCAACCACTCTAACGGGATAAATATACCAATATACAAGGAAATAGGCCCAGAAATGAAAGGTGCGTCTCCAGAAGGACCTGCTTTAGGGTGGATTTATCTTTTAATTGCAGTTTCTCTTTTCTGAAAGCTGGACGGACTCAGCTGCTTCTCTCTTTTCCCGTTTCTCTGGTTTAATAGATACTGTAGGTGAGGTTGGAGATGAGAGGAGAAAAAGCGAAAGGGAATAGGTAATAGAAGGAGCCAGAGGAGAAGGAAAGAAGAGAGAAAATAGGAGGGGATGGGCGAGAGGCAAAGCTTGACACTGGTGTTTGAATAAAAATGAGCCTGGGTGTGGAGAGATTACTCTTTCTCTTTTTGTCTCCCTCTCTCTCCCTACTCTACCCCAGCTGTCCTCTTACTTCTCCTAATGCCCACAACCTCTCTGTACAACTCAATCTGCTTCCAGTCTGCATCTCCACAGTTTCAAAGGCAAGCAAGTTCAGCACTCATTTTATTCCTAAACTATTCACAAACATTTTAATATTTTAACTTTTAAGGATGTATTGGCAAAGTAACACTTTTACACACAAAAAAAAACCCTGCAGTGTGTTGTTGGTTTTCAGAAGCAATTATCATGAAACTATGAAAGTAAAGGTTTTTTTCTACCCAGAAATGAAGGGTATGTCGTCTCATTTTAGCTTTCGATCCATGTGTTTAGACATGTTTCATCAAACTAACCTGAACTAAAACAGGTTAGCTGTAAACGCTCTCTGGTAATGCACAAAAGTCTTCTTTTGCCTCCTTTTTAATTATTACATTTCTATTTATTTTATTTTATATTGCTTGCCATTTTTTCAATATGTATGTAATGTATATTGGTTTCTCTTGGAAAAAAAAACAGCTCAGTAATCAGCTGTAGTCTGCCTTTCTCTGTTTACCTACAATACTGTTCTAGGTGTTACTGCTCATATAGTCAGAACATCCCACTGTAATGTATTATAATGCTGTAATATAATGTGAGTATGCGCACGCCTGTGCATCTTTTGTGTGTGTGTGTGTGTGTGCGCGTGCGTGTGTGTGTGTAATATAATGTGTGTGTGCTGTTCAGTGTGCAGTTAAATGTTTGTACATCGTGCGTGTGTGAATTTGTAGCTGTTAACTTTCTGAGTCTTACATTTACAATGCACTGTTTGTCAATAAAGAAGACAAATCAATCACATTGATCAGCTTTGGTATGTAAGTGTTTATGCTATAAGGTAAGATAACCGGCTGCTTTGGTAGCTTCACATTTACCGTTCAGAAAAGAGAGACGTATCGATCATCGAACTCTCAGCAGGAAATCGGATAAACATATTTGCCGAAGGGTCAAACTATTTCTTTAACAACTTATGAGACAAACTTGACATTGTTTAATCACCTTGATCGGATGACATTTCAAAATGATGCATTAATTCTGTTTGTTAGCTATAAAACACGATTAAAGTAAAGAGTAAATTGAAAAATGCCTTTTTAACCATTTGAGATCAAATCCCCGATCCAATCACCTTACGCGTGATTACGTAAACTGGTATCAACTAATTTCAACCAACAATATCATGACATCCATCTATCAATTCATCTGCAACTTTTAGCAACAAGAGAAGTGTGTGGAGTCTCGGTCCTCTGTAGCTCTGTATTGCGCTTCATTTTGAACCCGCCCACATTCTGTTTCACTGGGGAAACTAAAGACGCTCTATAAAAACCTAAAATACAATGGATTTGTATCTGATCTACAGATTATCAGTTTGTTTTCTTTAGCAGCACTTCCCTTGCAAATCCCAAATATCAGATTCCTGTTTTTGGAGTTTAATAGTTTGTTCTTAAGCAGTCTAATAGGGTGTTAGACACTTACAGTTAATTGGGTGTGTCAGATTGTTAATAATTTGAATAATGCATAATAATAATAATAAGGGCAATTCAATATTTTTTGCTTGATGTTCTCTTCTGGAGGCAACATTCACATTCATACCTTACACACTATGCAATAAATTCCTTCGTAGATTATAGAAGACAACTGCATTCTGAAAAGTAATAAAAAAGGTAATAAAACTCTGTGATGAGTTCCACTTGTATGCCAGAAGACTAAATGAATCATTGATGGGAGTGTGAGTCAGTTTTTTAAATGTGAGTCTCGTGTTTTTGACTGTAACTCTTTCTTTATAAATGGCAAAGTTTACATCCTGAGAGGACGACTTTGAATGATCCACTGTAGTTCTTCAGAGCGCTATCGAGGCGTTCAACACAGTGAGCTGACAAAAGATTTACAAAAGCTCAAAAACCCACGAGGCGGGCTAAATTGAATCACATTTAAAGTTAGATTCACTTATAAAAGAAAGCCATTACCTGACTGTGGAGTCTGCTGCGGTGTATTATTCAGAGCAGTGAGAGCCCCATCAATTCATACCAAACAGATTAACAGCACAGGAACTATTGCAAATTGCTAATGAGTGCCATAAATACACGTTAGGAGCGCAATTGACATAAAACTGTTAACTGTAGCTAAGTGACAGGAAATTAAATTTGATTACAATAAAATGTGGCCTGTGAGTTAAAAGTATTAAATACATTTATTTCACTGAAGCACTGAATTGAAAATGCAAGTCAAACACCCATACAGCTAATCAGTGACATCATATGAACCTGCCCTCTAAAACAACCATTTAAAAAACAACTCATAAGTGCTTTAACTGATCTGCCACCTGTGATTAAAGGATAAGACACTGTCAACAAATCTCAGTAACAGATCAAAACCAACAATGAACAGCTTTTTTCTTCTATGAAAAGCTAAAAGAATGAGACAGACCATTGCACTTGGCGACACTTTCCTTTCTTATCGTGGACATGGGCGCTGTGGTTTATTTTGAGTCGAATACACCAACCTGCTGCCCTAAATACTCACTAGAGCATGCTGTCGATTTTTGTATTAATCCGCAGCTGAAAGTAGTCCCCAACAAATAATAATGAATAATTTAGACCTCTGTGGTTAAAGGAAACCAATGTCTACCGCTTTTAAGAGACAGGACGCAAACAGCTGTTTTAAGCTTGCATTGATGTAATTCAAAACGTAATCCAGAGTTACATCTTCATCTGTAGGTTATTCTTCACATATTTGCAGCCTGTGTCTCTTTGGCTTCTTTAGTTTAGAAAAAGCGGCCCAGAGCTCATATTTTATGGATGATACTGTGCGTGTTGCCGCAACACTCGAGGGTTAATGGCTTTCAGCAGTAACAACCAAAGTCTGGTCAGGCAATGTAAGAGGGGGGCACAACCACCGGGCGTGGTGGCATGACTTCATCGCCGGTGGAAAGAATGGGTGGTAGAAGGAGGTGAAGAGACAGAAGATGGAGGAGGGAGGGGAATGTGTGTGTGTCACATAGAGTGAGTCATCTTCACACAACCTCACTAACACGTTTCTGTCTTTGCTCTCCTCCCCCAACAGCCCCCTGGATACATAATTGACTCTCTCTTACCCCACACCGGTCCACTGGTGTGGGGCATTCTGCTCTCCCGACTTTGTTCCTGGAGATGAGACAACGTGATTCTTTCTCTTCCTCTCTGGCTCCGTTTCTCTCTCTTTCCATTCGCCTCTATCTTTCCCTCACAGAGCTCTCTGCAGGAAAACTATGAATAGTGAGCGCATTTTTTTTTTTTTTTTAAAGGGAATGAACGGTTATCTATTATTGAGCAGCAGCTATCTCTATCTACTAGGCTGCTAAAATAAATATGACACAGCACTGGAGAGATTTTCACAGATCTGAACTGAGCCCTCTCGTGCTCTTGAGTTACATGTTCAACAGCAAAGCAAAAGCAAAACCCGAGCAAGACAATAGCTCAAAGCAACTAAATCAAATGTTTGTGTGTGTGGCAACATTAAAAATGAAGAAAATAAAGACATGTTTTGCTTGTCTTTGGATAAAACTCTCTTGCTGAGTGAGTGAACGGGACTCTGGTAACACCATTGTGAATCTGTTTCAGGTGGTTTTGCTTCTCTTTCTTTAGATTTACATGTCGATGCAGTATTTCACTTGAAATGGACTTATCCTAAATCCACTGTGTCTATTTCACCTAACTCTTCCAGTCATTTTAGACCCTGTCCCCCACTTGTCCTGCAATTGCTTACAATGAGCTTCCTGTCGTCATTCACCTGATTAGTCTGCAGCATGCATGCATGCATTGTTAGTCAATTACCGCAGTATATACAGCATTCTCTCCATGTGGAAACTTACAGCTTACCTGATGAGCTGTGTTGCCTCTTTGTTGGAGCTTTCCAGCCTTCTTCCCTGTGTTGCCTGCGTTGGTTGTTTTAGTTTTAGTTTTTTCCCTGCTGCTTTTGCCCTTTATAATTATTTCTTTCTAATTAATTTGTTTGCTCATTCTGTAACATGTCTCCTAAAAACTAGGAAAGTCTGGTTTCCCTCAATTAAATTGAATCCACAGGACCTGCTCTGTTCACCTATCTGCTTCTGAGCACTGTTGCTTTACAGCACTAAATAGAAGACAATTTTGCAACATTGGATTTTCCTAAATACACCTCTGACTGGTTGAAGAGACAACCTTTTTCAGACATCGGAACACAGAAGCCCAAGAGCCAAGTCCTTGGGGTGATACTTGCAGGTGAAAATCCAGACTGACTCACTACCTTGTGGAGTTGCCATCTGCAAGGTACAGAGTTGGGATCAGGAAACAGATTTGGGCATTGTGGGACTTGGCAGTGAAGAGGCAAGAACGTGTAATGTCACCTCTCTGGGCATCAGAGGCTGGAGCTGGTGTGTGAGGCTGATCTTAACATGAATGTGAAGTCATTGGATTAACACGATGCAGTGTTGGCTTGAAGGCCAATCTTAGGGGTAAATTTAAATATACACGTACTCCTCTGCACTTGCAGATTTGTGGACTTCAAGTCAATTTTACAAATCAAGTCTATTCACAGGTCAATGGGAGTACATCATGCATATGTGATAATAATTGTATAAAGCCTTTTGTGGCTCCAGAGAGAGCTGCGCTAATTCTGATAAATGTCATCAAATGATGTCACTTAGCCCAAACAGGTCCACCACAAATGATCACACACCTGCCATTCCCTAAAAACACTGAAGCTGTGTTATGAGTAAGAGGGAATCGAGTAATATTAAGAGAGACGAAACGTGATGAATAGGCTACCTTCAAAAAATGCCATTATGAAATTCTAAACCCCACTTTGATAAACAGGGTTTCACTACATACACACAAGGATATGTGGTGGTCAACCAGTGGGAATAAGCCAGCTAGGAGGTGCAGTGGGCCGTAAAAGCCCAAAAGTGGTGGCCCCTGGCACATTCTACTGCCACTAT